TTAGAAGACGGGGCGGGGGGAAGGGTTGGGTGGGAGTGGCAGGGGGGAGGGGAGCGCCTGAGTTTTGTCCTGCCTAGGGCAGCACAAAACCAGGATACACCACTGCAGACGGTACGAGGATACTTGATCGAATTTCATACACAACCATTCCAGGCACACCCACCACCACCCCTGCGTACATCTGCAGACAACTAATCTGATCGATAAGGAAGTCCGAACCCTTTTCTACAAAGGTGCGGTAAAAAAAGGCGCGCAGAAAGACGACGGCTTCTTCAGCAACATATTCTTCATTTAGAAGAAGGTAGGAGACTTTCGCCCCGTCATCAACCTGTGGCAACTCAACTACTTCGTGGGATACCATCACATGGAAGGGATCCATCTGCTTCGCGATCTACTCCTAAAGGATGACTGGTTCACTCGATTGGATCTCAAAGACGCTTAACTTTCGGTACCACTGGCTCTATACTGTCGCAAGTTGCTACGCTTCCGATGGCACGGTCAAACATGCCAATTCACGTGCCTCCCGTTCAGACTCAGACTGGTGTTTCAAGAAATTCCTGAAGCTGGTCTTGGCCCGTCTTCGATTGCTAGGCATAAGATGTATCATCTACTTGGACGACTTGCTACTGTTTTGCAACACACCGTCACGACTCAGATCACAGACGAAATTGGTTGTAGACTTCCTCGAATCCCTGGGTTTTGTGGTGAATCAAGACAAGTCCATGATGATTCCCTCTCAAGTAGTCCAATTTCTGGGGTTTGAGATAGACTTAACCTCCTGTACGCTCAGACTGCCGATCAAGAAGATAGCTGCCATGAGGAAAGAAATTCGCAAAGTGTTAAGCATGAATCACGTTCCATTGCGCCTCCTAGCACGAGTTGTGGGACTCCTATCAGCCTCCATTCAGGCGATATATCCGGGACCACTGCACTACAGAGCTATGCAATGTTTGAAAGCACACTCCTTGCGTTCCCCTCACGGCTGAAGTTCGGACGGAACTTCACTGGTGGCTCCTCCACATGCAAGCCTGGAACAGGAAAGCCATATTTGGTCTCACACCAGATTTCATGCTAGAATCCGACGCCAGCCTCTACAGGTGGTCCCTGGTTGGAAGAAGAATGGACTTCCACTTCTGCTGACCGACCCGCGGGGGGAACACCACCCCCTCGTCCTACAAGAACATCTGGAACTAGGAGTTTGAAAGATTTCAGGGGATCCTGGTCAACAGATGGATTATCACAGGCCACTAAGGATCTATTATGGGACTCATGGGCACCTGGCACCAGACGCTGTTATCTCGCAGCCTGGAACAAATGGTCTAGCTGGTGTTTGGGGAGGGATTTCAATCCCTTTACAGCACCTGTTCCTATGATCTTACATTTTTTATCACATTCCTTTTCCTTAGGACGTTCATATCGATCCATCAATGTCACGCGATCCGTGATATCGGCTGCACGTGTTCCGGTTCAGGGTCTCCCAGTGGGTCAAGATCCTTTGATCTGCAGACTACTGAGAGGTATACGTCTATCATGCCCACTGACGCCAAAATACTCCAGACTCTGGGATGTTGAGGTGGTCATGTGACTTTTACGAAAATGGACGGATAATACATCTTTGTCTTTGTGCCAACTCTCAGTGAAACTCACTCTGTTGCTTTGTCTAGTATCTTTATATTGAGTAGCAGATGTTAGAGCGTTTGACGTAAACAGTTTATCCTTTACCCCTTTGTTTTTGGTCACGATAAGATGATTTTGTCGACGGTCTTTTACCTGTTTTTTCCTGCGGCCCCACACCTTTGTGTGGTCAGGACGTTGCTGCCCTACGTAGAAATTACTAAACCTTTACGGAGTTCCCAATCAGGTCAACTTCTTGTGTCTTATGCCAAACCACACAAACCGGTGTCTATGACTACTCTTGCAAGATATTATCCTTGGCAGGCGCCGAGGCATCTTTCGGAGCTCATTCCGTACTGGGCATCGCGGCTACACGCGCTTTTATGTCGGGTGCATCTCTCACCATCATCATGCGATCGGCGGATTGGTTTCAGGGAAAATACGTTTCGAGTTTTCTATTTTCATCCTTCTTCCCATGCTTCTTTTTCTCTTCTTGATTAGCGTTACAAATGCAAATATGAAGCCTCCTGTCATGTGGTAAAATTGTAGATTATGCTAACATGGTGTACCTATAATCTTAATTTTAGTAATGACAGGAAGCGAGTATTTCCCTACCTTATTTCTTTCCCCCCCTTTTTTGAAATTTCTCTTATATACGCATGCAATCATTCAGATACACACATTCACTGGAAACACACTCACTGACAGACAGACAGACACACATTCACTGAAACACACACACTCACTCACATTCACTGACACACTCACACACATTCACTGAAACACACACACTCACTGACAGACACACACACTCACACACATTCACTGAAACACACACACTCACTCAAATTCACTGACACACACTTACTCACATTCACTGACACTCACACTCACATTCACTGACACTCACACTCACATTCACTGACACACTCACATTCACACATTTCCCCACACTCACAATTATTATTATTATTATTTTAAATTTAAATCCATTAAATCCACCGAGCCTCCCTACTTTTGGGATAGCTGGGTGGATTTTTTACCTGGGGTCCAGTGGGGCTGCTGGGCAGCAAGGCAGCCAGATGTGTGGGCGGGCGCTCTACGTTTTCAGCGAGGGAGCACATTCCCCTGAGCTCTCTCTGCTCAGCTCCCCCGCGCGCTGCAGAGCGATTCCGGGAGCCGAAATATGACGTCATATTCCGGCCGCTGGCATTACTGTGGAGAGCAGAGAGAACTTCGGAAAAGTATTCCCTCGCCGCCTGCCCGGGAAACATTTTGGGCGTTTTTTGCCGCCCCCTGGAAATTGCTTTGTTTGCCTCGCGGTAGACACATCCCTGGGGGTGCCCACATTTCATCATACCTAGGGCAGCACATATCCAAAATACACTACTTTCTAGAACTGCACTCTTCTGGACAGCGATCTCAGATGTCCCACATGGAATCTGCTGAAGATACTTTTCCAACTTGGGAGTCACAGCCCAGAGTGCTCTTATCACAACTGGGATTACTACTGCCTTATCTTTCCACATCCATTCTATTTCCTTTTTCAGTCTTTGGTTCACCTTCTCGTGTTCCTTCTTACTGATGTTGTAGTCACTGGGTATTGCCACATCCACCACAACTGCAGTCTTCCGTTCCTTGTCTATCAACACGATGTCAGGTTGGTTGGCCACTACTAGCTTGTCTGTCTGGATCTAAAAGTCCCACAAGATCCTAGCCCTGTCATTCTTAACTACCCTTTGTGGTATCTCCCATCTGGACTTAGGCAGGTCTGGTCCATATTCTGTACAGATACCTTGGTACACAATTCCAGAAACTTAGTTGTGTCTCTCTCCGTGTATGCTGTTCCTGCTAACATCTTGCACCTGGTTACTATGTGCTGGATTGTCTCAGAGGCCTCTTTGCACAATCTGCACGTTGGGTCTTGCCTGGTGTGGTAGACTCCAGCTTCTATTGATCTGGTTCTGAGTGCCTGTTCTTGTGCTGCTAGGATTAATGCCTCAGTGCTGTCTTTTAGTCCTGCCTTTTTAAACCATTGGTAAGATTTAGTAATGTGAGCCGCATCCACTATTTGCTGGTGGCACACCCCATGGAGAGGTTTATCTTGCCATGGAACCTCCCCTTTTTCTGCATGCTCTATCTGTTGTTGTCTCAGGCATTCTCATATCCATCCAAGGCATATTTGTGAAGTATTCGTATGAATGGCTGGTTTCTATAGCCCAGCCATTCGAATTACTCTTTTTCCCGAACAAAACTGCCGAACCGACGGCCACCCAGGAGAGAAGTGTGCTGCTGGTTAACCTATTGATCCCAATTAGAACGTTGTGGTTAACCGCAGACACTTCTCAATTAAACCGAATTCAGGGTGGTCGTCGTTCGTATGTCGACCACGAGGCAGCGGCCATTTTAAACCAAGCGAACGCCCAGCGGTGTTTGGCTCTATTTCTGTGGAACTAAAAACGGACACTTTTTCTGCCGAACACCGCTGAAACAACGGAACGCCTGGCTGCCTCCAAGAAACCATACGAACACCGGCCGTTCGGGAGTTTTGGAGCATACGAAAAGACTGAACCCAGATAACCTTCCCATGGAGTCATTCGTATACCGAAAGACTGTAAGAACTTTGACTCCATGGCGATTGAACTATGTGTGTGGGATCTGAGCGCTATTCGCCAATAATATGCACTCAGATCCGGGCTATCTGGGGATATGTAATACGAATGGGAAATGTTCGGTTACTTTAAAGTTATGTATTTTTATGTCTTTTGTGATTTTATGTTTAAAATGGCAACTGGCTTTGTTCTGGAGTTAATTGAGTTACTTGGTAATTAACTCCAGGACAGAGGGGAGGGAATCATAATGCACTGTGGGTAAAACCTGTAACTGTATGTCTGGAATGTCCCCATGTCTATCTGTAATTCCAGTCTCCCATTTGGTCCCCTAGGGGAGTGTCCACCAAGTGGGAGACCTGCATAAATACGGGCAGGTAGCCCACAGTAAAGCCAGATCCTGTTTGACCCTCAATGTGGAGCTTCTGTCTTGTTATTGGGGGGATTTTTCCTTCACGTTTAGAGACTGCTGGATGGAACGAAAGCCGCTTGGTGAATATTGCTGTTCGACAGTTACCAGTAGTTCGTGTATTGCCGTTCGGGAGTTTGGAGCCGTTCACAGATCTCGATCGGGAGATTGCCGCTTCCCCTGCATTTGGTTCGTATACCACAGATTAAGCGAACGGAGACTGTACTGCAGCCGGGGAAGGTCTACTAAACGGCGGTTTTGCCTAAAGACACTGGAGGTGTCTTAACATTCCTGTTGACCTTAATAGGGACTTCTGTCAATAATTAATTTGGAATGATTTTCTAAATGTCTTAAATTATTTGGAAACTCTAAGTTTTGTACCAAGAGTCATCATGGATGATACAACCCATTTTAATCTTTAAAAGTGAATATACCAGGCCTGTTAGATTACTATAGCTAGATTTGTATATCATATTAATGAATTCTTGTTTTTTTTTTTTAATATGCTGTACTTTTATCAAGTATTTTTTTTCCCAAAATAGACAGTTGATCAATAGTTATTAAATATTTACTGACCTGGAGTGGATTCAGTAGTACAAACATGTATTGTAAAACCAGGGAGTTATTTGCAAACATCGGAATACCGATAGCCCAGGTCAACCCAAACTGAGGCGTGCAAAAGACGACTGCTTTCACCAGTTTCTTCACAACCTCCACATCCTCACTGCTTCCCTCAGAAATGGACGGTCTGAGAAGTTTCTGTATCACTACAATCAGTACCAGGAAATTTACACACATAATTATTATTATTGGGACAGTAAATGCCAGGGAAGCCCCAGAATTACCATCCAGCCAACATGCATTGTACTTTCGGTAATTATTATTTGGCGAGTACACCAGATAGGTGGCTGTTGCTATAATGATTGGACACACATATCCAAATACTATGGAGAGGGACATGAATTCTCTCTTGGTAACATGGTGGAAAACGAACACTAATCTGCATGCCAAGAAAAGTCCTTGGACCAAGGTCCAGCAGAAGAAGCCCAGAGTGGAAAGATGTGTACATAAGGTAAAAGCAACACATATATCCTTTTGTACAACTGGGTCGAGAAAACTAGAAGCTAAAAAAGAAATGTTGCTTATTAGCAAAAAAACAGATATGTTTAGTGTGCAGATATGTCTATAGGAAGCCATAATGTTACATGATTGACTTAAGAGAATTATTTGAAATGTGATGCAGATAACTAGGGACGTTATGGAAATTAGAAGGCCAGCTCTGGTGATGATATCCTGGATGTTAGCTTGGAATGGGTCATCGAGAACTGAATTTGACATTAATACTGCAAAGGATGTGAGATGACTGCAGACACAGCTGGTGATTCCACCGGTGACCTCTGTGTTGCACCCTTCTGATGACCATGTATTAGAGAGAAAATCCCAGAAAACGCATAGTGCCGTTTCGTTACATGTTTTGTTTGTGCAAGTAAAGGTTAAGTTGATGTTGACATCATGATAATTCCTGTTATTTAAAATGAAAACTTGTGTCATTATCTTACTGGCCACAAAATAGGTCTGAGAAACGCTTTCTTGATTGCCATATTCAGCATTAAAGCTTCCATGTTCTGGAGTGTAAGACATGGACAATACATTTACAAGACAATCTTTTGGATTGTGCTCAGCGTCATAACGAGGCAATGATACACTGGAACTCGAGTCAAGTACCAAAACAGCCCCATTATCCATGTCATCGCAAGAAGCCACAGAGCACTGGAGGTCCACGTTCCCATAATATATGTTAAAAGATTCATTTGTGACTTCCATCTCAGCAAGTATATTCTCTAGACGACCCAGGAGCTGTGGACCCAGATTATTATTTACACTCGTCGAGGGCGCAGTGGAAAGGCCACTAAAAAGCTGGTTGGCTATGTACCCGACATTCTGCAGAAAACAATGGAAATTAGATATATTATTTGGAAATTATTTAAAAAGCACAAATTGGCCAATGAACAAGAATACACATACAGTATATCCACCTGGGTTTATTACGTAGGCAGAGCAGGGAGATTTTTACAGCAGGTGTCCTTAGCCAATAAATAAACCAAGTAACAACATCACTGAGATTTAATTCTACAAATTAGGGCACCATATTGTGGTTGTGAAAATCCAACACGAAGTGCAAATTCACACCCATAAAAAGACAGACATTTTAAAAAGTTAATGGGCGACAAAACGATTTCTACATTCCACAATGTCCTCCTCTACTGAGTACATGCTAAATGGACAACCCACTACTAAAATAAAAATAAATCACTGTTTATACATTTAATTTTAATTTCAAGTATATCTAAAAACAGCTTGTCTGCTGCCCTTGCAAGCCCTCCCCTTCTAACCCCGCCCAGACTCTATGTGGCTGTCCAATCACAGACCTCCCATTGCAGCTCAATGAGAAGTCTTTGCAAGGCAGGTGCTCCGGGCAATTGCTGCCTCTTGAGTTTATCTCCACTGAGCTAAACAAACCAGGAAGTAACAGCCAGGGGTGATTGACAGCCAGGGGTGTGTAACAAGGTTTATTTATAAAACTGTCCACTTCTATTCAAATCTGCACTTTTTTATAAAATTAAATAAAGGGACACTCCAAATCTTGGAGTCTCTTAAAGCCCAGCTATATGAGAGGAGGGGTTGGCAACCTTGGTATGTCGTCACAGACTTTAAATGGTGTGGGGGGAGAACAAGTAGGTAACTCTTACAACTATTGTACTTGGTATCCCACAGTCTGCAATATATTACAGAGATAAACAACATTAAATCCAATTCACATCATTGCTAGCCAGTGTTGCAGAAAACAGGAGGTACACAAGTCTATTCACTATATTGTAAAATCAGAAATTAATCCAAAACAGAATGTGGAAACATTCTAAAATTCTATTTTTTCCTGACTTGGCTACTTTGGAATACATTCTTTAACTCATTAATTTGCCCAAAGTTCATTGTTTCTGGAACAAACACAGTAGTCAAACAGTGCGTTATTATACGGACACCGTCCACTCACCTTTACAGTGTCCACATTGAAACGGAAATTCGACTGCACAGCTGCTTCAGTCAGGTTTCCCAGAATGTAGAAGATGGACAGCATTTCTCCCACTTGATATCTGCTAGAGTTGATGGACGACGTGTAGTCCTTCAAAGAGGTTATGATGGTAAGTGTATCGGATTCCTTAATATTCTATGAACACAAATCATGTAAAATTACTATGTCTTATCTTACAATATGCTGCCATACTACTCATTCAACTAAGCTGAATATATTATAGCTAATATCGTGTGTAGCCACAACATTAAAACCACGTCTCAGGTGAAGTGAATAACGGTGATTATATCGTTACAATGGAGCCTGTCAGGGGCAGCAAGTGAACAATAAGTTCTTAAATTTCATGTGTTGGAAGCAGGAAAAATGGAAGTATGAAGATTTGCAACAATAATTTGTCAGCCTGACTCAAAAGCTATCAGTGTTTGTTAAATTCTTAATGTTTAATCCCTAAATCTTAAACCGTTGGCGGGTCTTGAAAACTAGTTTGAGAATCGCCATTCAGAGTGAGTATTTAATAAGATAAATCTTTATAAAATCCTCATATTGACTGTGTTGGAAGTCACTGAAATTACAACGAGTTAAAAGATATAAGGACTACTTTCTCTCAGTATTTTTCTACGGCTCACAATTCTAGATACTGGGCGGAGCTATCATCATCTAGAAGTGGTAATCCCCCAGCCGTCCCCAGTGACAGCCGCTTGGAATTGGCTCTGTCTATGGCAGGACCCTCCATAGATCTCAATGCTGTTGTAACGGTTTCTTTAATGGTTCTTTCTTAATGGAACTTCATCTATACCCCTTTAAGAGAACCCCTGACCCCTACGTATTGAAACGTTCAACGTCAATGCCTCCGCACATAGTTAATGTGTTAATTCCCGTGTTAATGTGTTAATTCCCGTGTTAATTCCTGTGTTAATGTGTTAATTCCCGTGTTAATGTGTTAATGTGTTAATTCCGTGTGCAGCTGAAACCTATTCTTATCCTCTAGGTTCCTTTCTAACCATTCTAATCTTACCTAATTGCTCTTTCATTACCTGACCGGATTGAACTTTAACCCTTCTTTTGGATCTACCTTCGGATTACTTACCTGATATCGACCTGGATCGGACTAAACCACTCCCTTAACGACTACTCATTTGCTGCTGACCTGGATTATCACCTAAACGACTCTCTTGGATTCCCTAAAATTAATCTTTCTTCTTGAAAATTAACCTCTTGACCTGGTAAGTGGTCTTTGTTTTGAATTTGTTAGACAAAAGTTGCTTAAAGTTATTACAGCTGTACTCTTGAGCATGCTGAAGTGCCAAGAGCAGAAGGGGAAGAAGGTAGTGGCGCCCGCAAGGGACAGATTAAGGTAGGTTAAACTCATCTTTGCCTGCCCCCTACCCCCCGGACTCACAGCAGCGATGTCACCGTCTGGTTGGCTGAATGGATTTCCTCAATATATTGTCTGGATGATATTCAGATGAGCCGAACTGCCATGCTCACAACTATCGCCTTCCAGAACAAAAATACATTTTCAGACAAAGTTATTCGGCCAAACCAAAATTTTCTGCTGTGCATAAGTCTAGTGAGCTGTACAAGGTATTTATTTTAATCATGCACATTGTTACGTTTGTTAGGTATTAGGGTGTTTATTCATTTGTAGAAAATCAGTTTATCAAGTAATTTTGGTTGTTGGCTTCAATAAGCAAAAATTAGCTCCATTAAAGGATCACTATAGTGTCAGGAAAACAAACCCGTTTTCCTGACACTATGTCATCCTTGGGGGACCCTCACCCTCAGGGTCCCCCTCCCGTGGCGCTGAAGGGATTAAAACCGCTACAGCCACTTACCTTAATCCAGCGCCGGGCCCCCTTGGCGCTGATGACCTCTCCTCCCCCGCCGACGTCAGCTCCCGAGTGGAGCGGAATGCGCATGCGCGGCAAGAGCCACACGCGCATTCTAACAGTCCAGCAAGACAGCCACTAGAGGTTGGATTAACCCTGCAATGTAAACATAGTTTTTCTGAAACTGCTATGTTTACATCTGAAGAGTTAAAACCTGGGGGACCTGGCACCCAGACCACTTCATTGAGATGAAGTGGTCTGGGTGACTATAGTGTCCCTTTAAAGGGAAACTCCAGTGCCAGGAAAACAATCCGTTTTCCTGGCACTGCATGTACCCTTTCCCTCCCACCCCTTCAGGTCACTTACCTGAGACCCTGCCGATGTCTCTCGGCAGTGGTTTCGGGTCGGCATCGCTCCTCCCAATAATTGCGTCAGGCGGTGGGCGAGACTGATCCTGCCCGCCGGCTGAGGAAACCTAATGCGCATGTGCAGCAATGCCACGCACGCGCATTAGGTCTCCCCATAGGAAAGCATTGAAAACGATTTTCAATGCTTTTGTATGGGGAATTGAGCGACGCTGGAGGTCCTCACACAGCGTGAGGACGTCCAGCGACGCTCTAGCAAAGAAAATCTTTGCTATCAATGCGGAAGTGCCCACCCCTTCTAGTAGACAGCCACTAGAGGTGGAGTTAACTATGCAATGTAATTATTGCAGTTTATAAAAAAACAGCAATAATTACAGTTGCAGGGTTAAGAGTAGTGGGAGTTGGCACCCTGGAGTGTCCCTTTAATGTTTCAATGAATCCTATACAGATTGACTGTGATTGCTTTAGCTTATACTTAATGTAAGGTATAAGCATTTCACAAATATATGTGTGTGTGTGTGTGTATATATTTATGTATATTTCTTGTGTTTACATATATTCCTATGCGTACATGATGTTAAAAGGATAATGTGTAGAAAAGTATACTAAACCAAAGATAGTCAGATTAAGTAGTAACTAATCCCTTCTAACATTTAGAATATAAAATGATTGCTGATACTTATATGAATTGCTGCCAAGGGTACATTTTAGAGCAAGTACCCCCTACCAGTCCAGGATTTAGGGATTAGCCTGTTGTGTCTAAAGTGTTTTTTTTTCTTTTCTTTAAAACCTTAGACACAACTGGGCAATCTTTAAAGTTTGGACTGTTAGGGGGTACTTCAGGACTGGGTTGGGAACCCCTGATGTAGAGAATAATGAAATAGAAAGTGAATAAAAGGTAATTAGGTAGAAGAGGATATGTATTATTTGGCCTGAAAATAGCCCGGCTTAACGTAATGTCCACGATAGGCAGGGGCGTATTAGCCGCGAGGCAAACAAGGCATTTGCCTTGGGCGGCATTTTCCAGGGGGCGGCAAAAAAAGCCGCCCCCCAGATGCCCAGGGCAAATGCCTTGTTAGCCTTGCGGCTAACTGACATGCTGGGCTGGGCGGCTGGGCGGCTGGCGAGGGAGCACTTCCCCTGAGCACTCTGCTCAGCTCCCTCACGCGCCACAGAGTGAGGCTGGGAGCCGGGTTGATGACGTCATATTCCGGCTCCCAGCCTCACTCTGAGGCTCGCGAGGGAGCTGAGCAGAGTGCTCAGGGGAAGAGCTCCCTCGCCAGCCGCCCGCCAACGCCGCCCGCCTAGCAGCCACTGGACCCCCAGGGAGATAGAGAACCCCTTCCGCCCCCAGCACTCACGAAGGTAAGGAAGGGGGGGGGGTTAAAAATAAATAAATGTGTTAATGTGAGTGTGTGTATGTCTGTTAGTGTGTGTGTGTGTCTGTTAGTGTGTGTGTGTGTGTCTGTTAGTGTGTGAGTGTGTCTGTTAGTGTGTGTGTCTGTTAGTGTGTGTGTGTGTCTGTTAGTGTGTGTGTGTGTCTGTTGTGTGTGTGTCTGTTAGTGTGTGTGTGTCTGTTAGTGTGTGTGTGTCTGTTAGTGTGTATGTGTGTCAGTGAGTGTGTGTGTCTGCTAGTGAGTGTGTGTCTGTTAGTGAGTGTGTGCTTGCCTGTGAGTGTGTGTGTCTGTTAGTGAGTGTGTGTTTCAGTGAGTGAATGAGTGTGTTTGTTTGTGTGTGTGTGTCTGACTGTGTGTGTATGTTTGCCTGTGAGTGTGTCAGTGAGTGTTTGTGTCTGCTAGTGTGTGTCTGCTAGTGTGTGTCTGCTAGTGTGTGTCTGCTAGTGAGTGAGTATGTGTCTGTGTGTGTCAGTGAGTGTGTGTTTGTCAGTGAATGTGTGTGTGTGTATTTAGAAGGCGGGACGGGGGAAGGGATGGGTGGGGGTCGCGCGCGGGGGTTGGGGGGCGCCTGAGTTTTGTCCTGCCTAGGACAAAACCAGGATACACCACTGACGATAGGCAAATAGCAAGTTAATAGCAACAAAATAATAACAAAGTCATAAAAACAAGTGGAGGTCAAGGATTCCAGATATTAAATAAAACGATAAGAAAAGCCAAGGTGGGATACCACCAGATAAACAGAATGGTCAGACCAAGCCAGTCAGGAAAATGGAAACAATAACATGTATGTACGTAGTGGGCATTGGATAGCATTCCCTTCATCCCCCATAAAACCATAACTTACCCCTTCAAATAACGACAGACAACTTCTTGGAGAAAACAGGCCACAGCATTTATTAACACAATCAAATACTGTATGACTCCTTTAACATATAACAAAATAATAAATATCATAAATTAACATAAACAATTTGCATATAGTCATACAGTAACCAAAGAAACCGTCCTTGCCAATCTAACTTCCCCAAGGCTCTCACCTCCCCCCTCGGCATAATAAAAACATCTTCCTTTTCAGGGCTCCCCACCAACTCGGTGGGGCCCAACTATAATGCTCCCCACTGGTCGACTTACAACCAAGAGGGGACACGTCCAACCTGGTACCTCCTCCAGGTTCACCATAAGAGACAGGGGGAGGATGAGACCCGGCCATTATCCCCCTTTTTCATCTAATCTACCAAACCATCCCTTATTTGGCAAGGACACACCCCCACCTCGCTGTGACAACCCCCGGGCCCAAAGCAGCAAAGGGAGGGTGGGTGGGAAACTTGTTGCTGGCCCGGCACTGAGGTCAGTCTATTCTGTCACCACCCACTTCCTCACATCTCACACTCCCACATGTAGCATATAGCCAATCATGCACCATCCATCCCACACTCGTACATGTGCCCCTGTCCGCTAAGCTGCGCACTCTCCCTGGGGCCTAAACGCACTCTAGGGCAACCAAAACCATGACAGGGCACCTACTACCAGGAAGATATATATTTGGTGGACCAAAACACTATCGCAAAGCATCATACTTTAATAAACTTTTATTAAAAATATTATGTGCCAGGTAACACTGTGACCTCTGTGAAGTGTGGAGCATGTCGAACAGTCTGATCTGGAAAGCATTCCCCTGGAGAGGAGAAGAGGAATGGATCCCTGGACTCCGAAGTTGCCGTGTGGCTCTCCCCTAAGTTTGCGAATGCCACACGGCGGCAGCCGAAGATATGACAAGTGGCCATGTCAAGCTAGCATGTTTAACCCCTTAAGGACACATGACGTGTCAATATTAGTTTGTTTTTAAACATTTTGTTTGAATTAAATAATGGAAAGGCTCTGGAAAGTGTGAGTGACCCATTGCCTCTACTATTAATCATTGTATGTGATTACAGTATTACAGTATTATGCTATGTTAGCTTTAGTATCTTGTTACACGGCGATAAAGAGGTGTTACACTCATTGAGATTAAGTATTAATCACTGTGTACTGGAGATAATTTATGCACCCCCCATTTCTACTTCGATACACGTGTTTTTAGTGTCTTGTGAGTGATTTTAGGCACTGGGGGTAGCTGCATTAACGTTTTATCAAGTGCCAACCCACTCATATTCCATCCTATTTTGGGATTGAATATTTTGTATCTTTTATTGTTTTATATAGTAGTCATGTGGCTTGGAGATTCCCTTTAAGTCTAGGATGTTAAAGGTCGGAAAGTAAGAATGGATCCAGTGTCAGTCGGAGGTAGACAAGAGGTAGTTGTTATACTGTAAGAAACTTACTGTTAATGACATCTGTAGCAATTGATCAATCAGACTCAGTCCAGTGGTTGCCGATGTAGTACCTGCCATGAACAGATAATTATTAGATAATAACAGAGGCACCAGAACAATGAAACTAGCGGACAAATAAAAAAATATTAATAGAAACCACTAATGGGTCTTAATAAAAAATCTGGACATTCAGTACGGACCCACAACCCAACACAGAGGCTTTACAGCCTTTAGGAAACCGTCTGAAAAAACTGTCCGTTTTTATTAGGTCAGCTCCACGACAACAAAAAATCTTATAATATACTACACTATATTTACTAACCGGGCACTGTTACTTAGACAAACTACACAATTAGGAATGTTTGTACATTGCCCTATTCTGTGCAATGCCAGCCTGGCAATTTAGAGTAATCTGACTGGGCATGTAATTCAGAGTAAATATAAAACCTTTTCATGCACGTCTGAATATTATAAATATATATATAATATATTTTGTAGTAAAACAGTAAGTGTCACGGGGGTGGGGCTTAACCAAGGAACGGAGCAGCCGCCGTTTTCCACAGGTCCAGTGGCAATCAGCTAAAATCCCCTGGATATTACGGGCATCAGTGTCCGCATGGAAGCAGAGACCTTAAAACTCACCACTGAGCGTCACCCAGACCCGGGACATGCCGTTCTTTCTACAATCTGGGCTGAAACGGCGAAAGAAACAGCTTGCAGTCTACCATCTCCCACCAAGCCTGGGCCTTGAGGAGTGGTGGAGCGCACCCCAGACCCCGGATAAGAGGGGAGTCACTACTACAGCCACAACGCCGGACACACTACCTGACATGGGAAGGCGATCCCAGAAACCGCCACCAGGTACACCATGCGACTCCCGAGATATAGGGTCCATGCTCCAGAGACAGGCCATAGCCAAGATGGCGGCCCTGGATGTCCACATGGCCGTAATTGCACCCCAGACCCTCATACAAGAGGTAGCTCAACCTCAGCCTCAGCAACAGATCTCCGAGCAAACAGCTCAAAAACTACCCAGACTTCTCACTCCTGGCAACTAAACAGGACATTAAGACCCTCCTTGCCGATTTTCACCAGACATTAGCAGCAGATATTACAGTGATCCAGAATGACTTAAAGATGGTAACTGGTAGGGTCCGTGCCACAGAAGAAGATGTTATAGAAGTGAAACAGGCAGTGTCTACTCTAAAAGACTCAATTCAGGAAGCGCAGAAAGCTCAACACACTTTCACCACACAAATTACCATGCTGGATGATCGCTCCAGGCGTCATCATTTTAAAATCAGAGGGTCACCTGAAGCTGTCACATTGAAGGAACTGCCAAACTACCTGAGGCATCTGGTGGCCTTGCTGTTACCACCGCCGCAAGCCAAAAAGTCATGTTCGACGGAGTGTTACGCCTTGCGAAGTCAGATAGGGCACCAGCTTGGCCGTAAGGGACATTCTAATCCACTGCACCCTGGCACAAGATAAAAAAGCGCTTCTAGCAGCCTGCCTCCAATCTCCCCACCCCCACCCACCCGAAATCCAACCCTTGGTTAGGGATAACTTAAGCAAAGGCCTGACAATCCTTCCTATTTGATGCACGTACCACAGCCATATGACCTGGTACATGCTCCTCTAGATGCCTATATAGGTCCACAGCACAACAGTAGGTGCAAAATCAAACCACCCCACGAGCAGTAATTAGGTCTCTGTATAAGCTTAACAGGGTTACCATTTTAAGCCAGGGCTTACGCGGCCCTAGTAACACCCAAATGCTTAAGCACTGCCCAATGACCCCCGCAGCAACGGCTGTAGGGAATAAGGACTTATATAATCCTCACACAATAAGCAGGCAGCAGTAATCGTAGTCGGCCATCGGGGCCAACTTCAACGTTCACACTAGAATATAATCGGTTATACATTCTAATTTACTTATCCCTTAACATAAAAGAGGCTACCACAATTAGAAGAGGGAGTTAACTTGTGTACACATTGCATACTGCTCTGATTTTACTACGTACACATGTAAGGCCACTCTAACTACCTCTCCTTTTTTCCTTTCTGTACAATGCCATAATGCCTCAATAAAAGAAAGATTGACAACAAAAAACAAAAAAACAGTAAGTGTCACAACTCTGTACGTACAATATAATGCTGTCACGATTCGGGGAACCAAACACGCCAACACACACACACACACACAAAGTGCCGTACCGGACCTTAGAGTGGCCGGGCTAAGCACACAAAGAATAGTCAGGAACAAGCCGAGTAAGGGGAACCAGAAGACAGAGTAACGTGAAACAAGCCGAGGTCAAAGGGTAGGAGAAAGTCACAGAGTCGGATAACAAGCCAGAGAGTACGTAACCAGAAGCACAAGTACAGAATCAATACTAACAAGCAAAGACCACAACAGGGCAAGGAGGAACAGGAAAGGTAAGTATTTAAACCCTCAGGTTAACTCTGATTGGATGATTTCCAATCAGAATTAACAATCACACGTGGGAGATATTTAGACCTCCCACTGTGATTGAGGCACTTTGCCTTTAACGCCGGGTCAGGTGACTGACCCCGGCGTGTATAAACCTGGGCGGTCTCCCAGCGTGCAGCGTCATGCAACGTGGAGGGAACGGCGGGCGGCATCCGAGGCTGGAAGGATGCCGCTCGCCGTACCCACGAGGCGGAGGGGACCGCGGACGGCTGGAGGGTGAGTACTGCGAGCGGAGTGCAGCCTCCCCTCGCAGCCGCCCGCGGGAGCCTGACATTACCCCCCCCTCGAAGACCGCCCAGGGGGCGGGAAGCGGAAGGCTTCAAAGGAAAGCGGGCATGAAAGGAGCGGACCAAAGAGGGAGCGTGCACATCGGAGCTTGAAACCCAGGACCGCTCCTCAGGGCCGTACCCCTTCCAGTCCACCAAATATTGCAGCCGACCCCTAGAAACACGAGAGTCGAGAAGGGTAGCCACCTCGTACACGTCGTCAGAGACAGCTCGAGGGGAAACGGGCCGCCCGAGGGGACGAGAGAACCGGTTACACAGCAAGGGTTTCAAAAGCGAGACGTGAAACGTGTTCGGGACACGCATGGAAGGAGGCAAATCAAGGGAGTAGGAAACGGGATTAACCCTACGTAACACCTTGAAGGGACCAAGAAATCTGGGGGCGAATTTCATCGAGGGAACCTTGAGACGGAGGTTCCGGGAGGACAACCATACCCTATCACCCGGAACATAGGAAGGGGCCGCAACCCTACGGCGATCAGCAAACTTTTTCTGAGCAGCCGCTGAACGAGACAGCGCAACATGGACTTGATCCCATGTCTTCCGCAAAGAGGCGAGGTGCTGGTCCAAGGCGGGCATTCCCTTGTCGGAGAACGCACCGGGAAGGACAGAAGGACGAAACCCATAGGCAACCTCAAAAGGACTTAAGCCAGTAGACGAATGAGTCACCGTATTCCTGGCAAATTCAGCCCACGGAAGAAGGCGAGACCAGTCATCCTGGTGCGCATTAGTGAAGCAGCGCAAATACAATTCCACAGACTGATTAGCACGTTCGGCCGCACCATTAGATTGCGGGTGATAGGAGGAAGAAAACGACAAGGATACCCCCATCTCAGCACAAAAGCCCCTCCAGAACTGAGAGACAAATTGAGGGCCCCTGTCAGATACGATATCCTGGGGTACCCCATGCAATCGGAACACTTCTTTGGCAAATACCTGAGCTAACTGAACCGCAGAAGGCAGTTTCTTAAGCGGAATGAAGTGCGCCATTTTAGAGAACCTATCCGTCACAGTCAGTATCACCGTCTGACCATCAGAAAGAGGCAGGTCTACAATGAAATCCATGGATAAGTGGGTCCATGGTTTCTTGGGTATAGATAGAGGCATCAGAAAACCCTGGGGTCTCACATTAAGGGACTTACATTGCGTGCAGACCTGACAAGCCTGAACAAAATCCACTACGTCTCGCTTGAGTGAAGGCCACCAGAACTGTTGAAGGAGGCCCTTGTAGGTTTTGGTAACCCCCGGATGACCAGCAGTTTTGGCTGTGTGAAATAAAGTTAACAACTTTTTTCTGTCATTAGTTTCAACGTATAGTTTACCAACCGGCGTCTCAGGGGGTGCCTGGGTTTGGTATGTCTTAATACTGGTAAGGAAAGGTGAAGAAACAACCAAACGGGTAGCAGCTATTATCTGAGACTCAGGTACAATAGGTTCAGGAGTCGGGTTAACAAATTCTACTGGTTCATGCTGCCGAGAGATGGCGTCAGCCTTGGCATTACGGCAACCAGGTCTATAGGTGATAACATATTGGAAGCGTGAGAGAAATAGAGACCATCTAGCCTGCCGGGCAGATAACCTTCTAGCATCAGCAATATAGGATAGATTCTTATGATCTGTTATAACCATAATTTTGTGTCTAGAACCCTCTAATAAGTACCTCCATTCCTTGAAAGCTAACACAATAGCTAATAGTT